CTCGGGGGCTGTTCGCGTAAGAGATGACGGCACCTTTTCCTTTCGATGCGATGCTTGCATGCGGAGCTGAACTACGGCTCCCCCTCGCCCACACGCGCGATGTGCCTTTTTTATGCTGCTTTTTATAGCACGCGGTTGCTCTGTAAATACAGACTCTCCCTCTAACTCCATTAAAGTTGTAAAAATGTTGCTTAGGGGCATGTATCTTTTTCTTCTCTTTTTTTTTTTTTGCCTGTCTGCCTCCAGAGCTATTAATAATTTACATCCATGAGCCCGAGTATAATTATACGCGAGATAACTGTGCTTCCTGGGGTGCCCTCGCGGTTGGGGGCAGCCTGTTCTGGAGAAGGGGAAATGAAACTGCGCTTCTCTGCGCCGGGGAAGCGCGGGGCTTTCAGAGGAGGGCTGGCACGTCATCTTCAGCATCATCCGGTGCTCTTTGCCATCTCTAAACGCTGCCGGACCTATTAGATTAGCATTCCAAGATTTATATATATATATCTTATATCTAGATATAAATTTTTTTGTTAACATACCTGCCTTTTGTGCTGGAAGTTGATTGTTGCCGGAAGCAGTGGAAGACTCTGCAGTTTGTTAGGACAGCTGTACAACCTAGCAAAGCTGCTGCCTGTGCCAGTTCTTAATAAATTATTGAAGAGCACAGAGCAGTTGACCCTTGCTCTGCATCGGTAAGGTACGTCCTTCTGAGGCACAGATTGGAAAAGGTGGTGTGGGAGCAGCTATGCCGAAAGATAAGCCTGCCCTGAGTTAATAAACTGAAACATTAACTGCCTCTCTGCCCATACCTGGAGACAGCGTGTCTGACCCGGGTAGCTGACAAAGTTCAGACCGCCAGAACAGGACTGGGGCAACACCTCCTGGGTGGTCAGACATAGCTATTGGGGAAGCTTCCCAGCGGTTCCCTCCTCGCGCCGCGCCGCGGCCGGCCCCGCCTGAACGCCGTGTTCTCGGCCAGGCTGGCGGCAGCACAGACCGCTCGGGTGCTGTCGCGGCCCCAAGCCGTGCGTCGTGCGGGCTTCGTTTGCTACTAACTCGTGTTCCAGGATTTAGCACGCAGCGGGCTCTGTCTGTGGCTCAAGCGCGCGGTAAGTGGCTGTGGGTTCCCTTTGGGGGGTGATGGTTCCTGAGGCGTCGGAGGGGCGTGGGCTGCCTCTGCCCGCTGCCTGGCAGCGCGCACTGGGGAGTCGAGGTCCGGCTGCGGTTCAGGCGCTGCAGAGGGCTTCAGTTTTCTGTAAAACTGCAGCAAGTGAGAAATCAGTGTGGAATATCTGTGTGGAAAGGCAGGAAACCAGTAGGTCTTAAATTTAACTTAGCTGCCCTTCGACTTCTGGATGAACATGCAGTTGTAGATTGGGCAAAACACACATATGCTGTGCTGTATCGCCTGCTGGGCAGACCCTCGCTCAGCTTTTTGGCTTACAGGAGCTATACTGAGTTACTACGTTAGCCAAGTATTAGGGCCTTTTCTAACTGGAGCCATTAGCTATTGAAGAGACTTTGGTTGTTTCTGAAAGTGAAACATTGCCAGGTTTATCCAAAGACATCCGGGACAGCTCTCTCCTGACGTTACGCTCTACCAGGGGCTGACCCACGTACCTCAGCCGGTGCAGAGGGAGTAGTCTTCACCAAGCTGTATAAAGCTACTCGGGGCTAAGGGGCTGCGAATTGATGTCTCCGTTGCATTTCAAGTCCTGCTGACTTGTTTCAAGTTAAGAAAACATAAAAGTACTGCCCTTTCCTACAGCTGAGCTGCAGCTGAATAAAAATGACCTGACAGCTCAGGCCTCTTCACATTTCTGATGCCATTGTCATAGACTTAATATCTGAATGCTTTCTAATGCCCTTTCTCCCATGTGGAAGAGCTGTCACTGTATGGTGGGGGATGGCAAGCTTTTGCCATGCTCAAATATGAGTTGATGAAATTATTCACTGATCACTATTTTTATTCTCTTAACGTGGATTGTCTTCACCCCTCCATAATCCAAACTGAACCCTCCTTCCCCCCCAATACACTCTAAAGCTGACTGAGGGAAGAAAGCTGTAAACACTTGGGAGGTTTTAATAAGCACATATTATATTCAAGAAAAAAATTTTAAGTCTAAGAATTTGGTATTTTGTTTTGAATTTTTGTATCACAAATGATGTCTCTGTATACAGAGTTCTCTATATCTCTGCCTGCATGTGCTGCTTTCCCCTTTTAATAGATATCTTTCTATGGTTTTGTTTCTTCCTGCCTACGCTCCAGCCTTGCCTGCTCAGTATCCTTCTCTTCTAAAGGTAGTGTAATTTGTATTTTCATTAGTTTTCTCCATAATAATTTTCTGCTTGGAATTCCCAAGTATACTACAGTGAAGGACAATGAGAACAGCTCAAAGCTTGCAGGGTAAAAATCTGTATTTTGTGCCTGCATTGTGTACCCTACAAGTATTGACCACGAGAGTACCTTTATGGAGCTGATTGTGAAGTTATGCGTGTTTGATGTTGTTCTGGTGGATGGGCTGGCTGAAGCTGACCTTCCAGTCTTTGCATTTTCTTGTGAGCTAGATGAGGAAATGATCTTCATTTAAAAGAATTTTTCTCCAATTGTGTATTTTTACTTGGGATCACTTCTCCAGTTTGGTTCACCCTGTAACCACAAAGACACCTCATTTGTCAAAACTGAGGGTTGGCAGAGGCCACGTGGGCTGCCGTCACTGCTGACGGGAAGGCTCGTTAAGCTCCGTATCGGTGAGCCTGTTACCAGTGAGCGTACTAATTGCAAGGCAGTGTTTGAAGCAGACTCTGGGGTGTCTTCAGGATGGCTGGCAAGCAGTGCTGGCGCTGGCCTTGCCGCTCATCCCAGGCCTCGCTCGGCGCTGGGGCTACCCACGTCCTTCAGCGGCGCGCTGCTGCCCGGGGGAGCGCTCGGCACTGCTCGCCTGCTCCGTCTCCCTTCCGCTCCCTGCCCTCTCGGCGAAGTAAATGAGAAGCGTCTGCAGCTCTTGGCCATATGAAAACTTGGACGTGTGGCTTGCAGGGGAGGAAGGTTGCTGCCCATTTCTGCACTGTTCATTCATGTTAACAGGAAATCGTACGCACTTCAGGCTGCTTCTGCTAGCGCTCGGGAGCCTCCCGCCCTTGCTGCACTCCTGTCTTCAGCAAATGCGTGTTTCCAAGCCGTTGCAGCCGTAGTAAGCAGTAGAAAGGCTGGTATATTAATAACATAGTCATTCCTCCCTGAAAAATACTATTAAAATTCAAACAGTGTTACAGAAAATGGAGCAAATGCGATAATTTTCAGTTTTGCTCTTTCAAGCTCAATCCTTCATTGAACAATTGTTCTTAATGCCTAGTGGGAAACATTCCCTACAGTCTTTTCCCTTTTTCTTAGTTGCTTTCTGGAGAGGAAAAGAAAACACCTGTACACCAGAGCCTCCTAGATGATGTCCAGCAGAAATAATAAAGTTTTGTTTGCCGTGGCCTGTGTTAAGACGCTGAAGAGTACTGCTGAGATTTTTATGGAGTTGGTATCTTTGCTTGAATGCCTCCTTTGCTGACCAGTTATGCTGGAGCTTCTAGTTTCTGTATAGGTTAGTACTAGTGAGAGCGTCTTCCTTTTTCCGCTTTATGCAAACACTTGTACAGAGCCTGTGAAATGATGCTAATCCATGAAGGAAAAAAAGAAAAAAGGGCAAGCTGGTACTCTGCAGGCTGTGCTCATGGTGCGTACCCTTCCCCTCTAAAACCGTAGCTGCTCTTGCTGGTGCAGCCTGTGACCATGGGCAGCATGGCAAAAAGCAGATCTGCAAAGAGCACTTTGAGGTTTTGATTTCTTCATATCTAATGACTCCAGTAGCTCAAGCCATCTCCTTTAGGAAGTGTCTAAGCATGCTGGAGATGTTACTGCTGTGGACATGAGCTGGCTGATAGGAGAGCTGCCCATAGCTCTCCCAGGCCGCTCCAGCCCGGGGCTGGTGGTATGCGGATGAGGACAGGAAGAAGTCTCTCTTCTCCAAATAATTCTGTGCGTCTCTGATGCAAGCTGACTAGTGGCATGGATGAGGCTGTTAATGTTACATCAAAGGTAACATTAAGGCAATTAAGGTTACCGAACTCTTCCTATAATAAGATGCTGTTTTTTGTTGCGTCTCACTTGCTGCGCCCCATCCGGTTGCACCGAAACGCCGTACGCTGGGCGCCCGGCGTGCCACTCTGCAGGGCGCTCCCACCCCCCCTGCTGCGGTTGCCTGACTTTCGTCCCTCTTGTTAATGGAGAGAAGGATGGAAACTTGCGGAAATGGCAGTCCAGGAGGTCCCTTCCAATCCTGCTTTTAATGTTTCTCTGAATATCCAAAGGGTTTGAGCCAAATTTGAACATACAGTAAAAACCACAATCTGGCAGGCTAACAAAACAGCAGGTCACAGAATGAGTCAGCCTAAGAGACGAGCCACAGTGCCCTGGGATAGCTGTAGCCCTAAACTGCAATTTGTAAAAACCCTGCTGCCCACACACTAAGATGCTGTTATGTGGTCCTCCCTTGCAGCACACAGAGCTCTTGGAGAGGACTTGTTCAATGCTAGTTTTTGGTGAATATGTCTTTGTCTGAAATTGCGGTTTCAAGGGAAGAAGTCTTTGGTGATACTGGCGTTTGTTATTGCTGTTCCCTTGCCTCTGTCTGCTAAGGGATCGTTCCTGCACCGTGGGCCAGCCGCGGGCACAGCTCCTCACGCCTGTGTCCTGGACTGGATGAAGGACCTGCTGCTGCTGTGACATAACACAGCAAAAGTAAACAATCTGCAAAACCAGAACCCTTTGGGCTGGATCAGTTCCGCCGTCCAGGTCGCAGCCCAGCCGTGTACCTGTGCGTGGCGCCGCTGAGGGAGTCTGGTGTTTTTGGGGCGCGGGCACCTTGCAGAGGCTGCAGCCTGGGGGTATCAAACGCAAACTCAAGTCAGTGGTACAGCCTGTGATCGAGAGAGGTGAAAAAGCCCATGTAAATAAACATGGTGAAAACCACCACGTGGTGCAAGACCCTTTCTGCTGTCTGCCACACTCTTCGAAGCTGGACAGAGTTGCTCAGGGACCCCGGACCCCGAGGGACTGTCCTGAAGTTGCAGAGAGGGGCAGGGAGCAGAGCGTGTCCTTGCAGGTCTGCCGGAGGCAGCAGACAGTGTGGTTGAGTCTGACCTCTGGGCCTTCTTGTAGTCAGTCTTGGACCATCCCCCCAAATGTGTATAATTAAATGGAGGCAGCAATCGTTATATTCAGACCTAATGTCTCTTGAACCCGTTCTAGAAAAACAGCATGGCAGAGAGGCTGGTTAATGTCCTGGACGGGGGCTGAGGGAGTTCAGATCAGCCTCTTGGTTCTTTCGTCTTTCCTGCAGCTCCAGCCCCCTTGGAATAGTCGCTTTATTGATCTGAACCTCAGTTCCTCTAACTTTTTCCATCCTTCAGTTTTGTTTTTGGAAGGTGGCATTATCTTTGTGAAAACAGCTATTGCTTTCCGGTTTGTATATCTATGGTAATAAATTCATATTAAAAAATACAGTAACTGAAAGCAAGGACATTCTTGGTATATTCAGTGTCACCTTTCAGTGGTGAATATATTCTTTCCCTGATCAGTCTTTAAACATGATAAACATCTCCTACCATTTATATAGCAATGTTGTATTGTTCACACTCAGATTCTACTCCAGCTTCCATTGATCACTAGGGATTAATGATTCATAGGACTTGAGAGATGGCAGTCTGGAGTTTCAGCTGGAGTGATAGCTTCAGTCACTGGGCTCCGGTCTCACAAATCCCAGGGTGCTGTGCAGGCTGCTGACATGTGCTGGAATTTAAGTGGAACACATACAAACCAAGCAAAATTCAACTCAAAATGATTCCAGTTATTTTGTGGTTTGTCCCTGAGACTTTTCCGTGCACAGACTTGAGCCAGGGATAAGAAACAGGAGCCTTGTTCTCTGACTGGGAAGGTTTTTGTTAACAGCTAGTAACAATCAATGAGAACAGGCAAGTTAAATAGAGAGCCTATAACTGAGGAGAAGGTGTGGCAAAGGGCAGCCCATACCTTTCTAGCACGGGTGAAGTGGGTTATTAT